GCTACCGAGGTTCCTTTGGATGACATAATTCATGGATTTTTGAAAAAGGATCCTCTGGACTAGTTGGGTCAACTATCTTCTTGATCAAGTAGACTTGAGGTCTGAATAGCTTGAGATGAAAGATCCATAGTGTACTGACCTGACTATCTCTACCTAATTAGAATCACTCTCTTCTTTGTTTTGCTTACGTCTATTGAGCCTTGTCCCTCCTTTGACATTTTTGTCGATGTCATTTGGCGTGCCTTACTTAGCTGACATTTCACTACCTATTTGGGATAAGGCAATTTTCCCTCCGCCCTTACGACATATTCTGGCCTCGAAGCAATGCGATGTTTCCTGTCAAGTGACCTGGTTATTTCATGGGCCTTGATTGCATATGAACTGCTACCCATTTGGGATCATGAGAGACTTACTCTTTGCTCTATGGCTTAGCGAGAGCTCAGAAAGTGTCATGATGTTTCTTATGATACAACCATCCCTTATGACATCTCTGCTAGTCGTCACTCATTTGTAAGAAGAACTTCTCTGATTGAGAGTACTCTTGGGCAACCCCCAAGATGTAATTAACTAAATAAGATACGTCCCTTTAGAAGCACTCTTGACCTTAAAAAAAAATTATAAATTTGGTTCTCTAGTTTGGGTAGCATATGGAGTTACTCTTTCATAGATATTTGGTTCAAAGTGTTTCTATTTTTTCTCATAAGAATGTACACTCTTGACCTATCACATGAGGTTTATCACACATAGAATCTTCACATTCTTTCTCTAATTTTTCTTTTTCATCGTATCGTTATCTTTCTTATTTGTCTCTTCCCCAGATCAACTATATGACGCGAAAGAGAGACTTATTGAGAAAATGAAATTATATGATGATAGATGAGCTAATGACTCTTTCAAAAATCAAAAAGAGAAAAAGAACTGAAATAAAGAAAAAAGAGAAAGGGGTTTGGCCATGAAGAACAAGAGAGGGAAAAAAACATTGACAAAGAGAAGAAGGGTGAAGCAACACGTAAAAAAATTACATGATAATCCTATAGTCTACATCAAGAAAGAAGCAAATTAAGGAAAAAAAGAAGTGTAAGAGATCACACTTTCCTTGCTTTGAGAAATTAAGAAATGAGGCTTTCTTGTTTTGCTTCCTTGACTTCTCAATTAGGTAGTGAGAGGTAAATGAAAAGAATGTTCTCAGTTTTGGTGAGAGGAAAGGATGGAAAGGGAAAGAATTTGACCTTGGATGAGAAGGAGGAGGGAAGCCTTTTGGGCGGCAGGGATGAGGGGGGGGTG